AGGCACATGCTAAGTAATCTGACTAACCTTTTTACTGGAGATGTCTTAATCCCATTTTCTAAAGGATGACAAAAACCTACTGTTGAAGAAAATTGTCTTACAAAGAGTTTATGTCAGGCAGTAGTCTTTAGTATTCTACTAATTTACTGATTATTTATGAGATTGAGTGTAAAAAGAATAGCCACTTTTAGTTAGGTCTGGGACAGGAAGGAAGGCGATATTTGACTTTTGGCCCTGTGCCATGAACCTCTTCAGTGACTGAACCTTTGCACTGCCCAGCACAGTGACAACCTGAAGGCTTCTTCAGTGGCCGTAGGGGGATGAAAAATCAATTCCCATCAAATCCAATTTCAATTCCAATCTAAAACCTGGTGCAGAATAAAAACTAAATGCTCTATAGACTGGAAGATATATATGTTCAAGGTCTTAACTGACCAAGTGTGCCAGAGTTTTACAACAGTCTTTCTTCTACTGAGGCTCAGAGATTTGCTGGAATTTTCAAGTAATTAGGACCAATTAACAGAAGCTGAAATAAAAAATTCATTGCTTTCGTATCTCACATGACGAGCTCCAATTCAGAAATTTCATAAGCATCGTGAAGCTTTATGGCAAAGGGAGCTAGAACACCTGTGGTTTCTTTGCAGAGGTTAGAAAAGAACTAGTTTCTTTTCTCTTTAAAGTCTTTATTGTCACTAATCACTACCACTGTGTGAAATCATGTCCTAGAGAATGAAAATGCTCATGAGATCGAAACCTTAACATATTCAAGTCCTTAAGTAATAAAACAGATTTATGCTATTGTGTGAATGACACTGTAATTTAAGGTGCTCGTCAGCAATTCCGTTGTCTTTAATAACTGTATGAAGAAAAATCAGAATTACTTGCTATTCAGAATTCGCCGTTAAATTGTGCTGGAAATATTAATACGCTGCTTATGCATTAATAAACGATGAGTTTAAAGTATGCCTACCTATTTGCAGGTTTCCTCAAGAAGCATTTCCTTTAGGAAATATTAACTTGTTTATCTTTCAAACATATGTTCTTATGGGAAATTTCAAACAGGATAAATCTCTTCCTCTAAACAATTTATTTCAGTAGAAGTCATCTTTTGTCCCAATAGAAAAAAAAAATTATTTAAATCATCCCTCATTAGCTTATAGTCAAAAAGACCCATATATGCCCATTGAGAATGCCTATGACAGAGGAAAACAAACCCCAACCGTGAAAGAGGCACAGGGCAGGAAATTAGACAGCACTGAGAAAATGGGAAGAAAGGGAAAGATACTTTAAAAAAAATGCATCAAGTATGTTACCTGCTCTTAGTTTTGATGTCTGTCCCATGAAAAATACAGGTATATTATTAAGACTTTGAAAAATATCTGTAACATTAAAAAAATCATGCCAAGATAGAATTTGTGATTGTTTTTGGTTTAGAGTTGTAGTTGCACACAAGAACCTCTACAAAAGTCATCACATGAGATAATAATCTGTACTTCTAACATAGTCTGTGGTTGAATGAGACTATGAGGTTTTGATCCAGCACAAAATTCATACTTTTCAGTACATAACATTGTAGAAGAGCATTCTTTCTCCTCATGCATTGTATTTTTATCTACTACATTGACAGACTATGGGCTTGTCTTCTTGAATTAAAAACCTGTGAAAAAAATAGAATTAAAGTGTGTGAACCACCCCTTATATCATCTGCAATATACGATCTGTCGTTAATAAATTTGTGCTTAGCTGCTGTCATTAACACTCTCAAAATTAATTTCTAGAAGTTTCTTCTATCTAGCTGAAGATTAACCTGTAACTGCTGCAGATGATCAGTGATAGCAATCACCAATAAGTAACAAAATCAGCCTTAGATTATAACCAGTAGATTTTTTTTTCTCACACAAAAAAGAACATAACTATTATTTTAAAGGTGATAGAGATATGGCCAAAAGCTGGAGGAAGGGAATGGAAGTTAAATTTCCTTAGTTCTGATTCCCTCTCTTTTTCTGATTATTTTTGGATAAATTTTGTAGGAAAGGACCAGAAAAGGAAATAGCATTGGCATTGTCATGATTAAAATGCTCTACTGCCTTTAGCTCTGAATTAAATACTCCCTGTGTACAGCATCTGAGGAAAGCTGGGAGTCTAAAAATGGTTAGCCAGCTGCACAAAACCACAGTTCATAGGTTTTCTTCACTGGCAGTCAGAAACTAAAAGCAGCTCAGGAGATAACTGAGGCTCAGCTCCCTGAGATGTAGAGTGCTGGGCTAGAGGAAGGTGCCAGAGGCCCCATCTTTCTCCCGGTGCTGGATGTCTGAACTGAGTTCGCTTTTCCTGCACAAGTGGTTCTGGAATCTGGGGGAGCTGTGTTCTGCTCCCCTCTGGAAATTCCTCTCAGGGAAGGGGAGGCTCTGGGTTTCTGTTCCAGTGCCACACCAGGGAAGAGCAGAAGCCCCCTCTCCCCAGCTGAGTGTGCTAGGCTCTGGTTTGTGGCGGACACCGCCATAGGATGGACCCTGCTTGTGTTTTCTGTGAGGTGCGTGTGTGTTCCTGCTGGGATGACAGGTGGGAAGAGTGAGAAAGATGCATCCAGGTTTTTGCTGGTAATTTGGTCTCTGAATTTGTTGCCCTTTCAGGGCATTTGTAATTGCAGGCATAGCCGAAAGCTCCCCCTGGAACCTTAAGTTTACAGAGAATATATCGACCAGGGCAAAACAGCAGCTGCAAGGGTATTTGAAAGGCTTAAATTTTGTACGTGAATCCCCACTGCAGCGTTTAGCCCTAAATACCTCTTTTCCCAGGAATGCTCTATTCAGTAACAGCTTTCTGCTTTCCTGTCCCTTCTGATCCTGGTGATAATGTACCACAAATGAAGTTCGAGAAGGATTATAATTTCTTTTTCAGGTATTCAGTGAACATTCCAGATTCAGCATTTTTGTTGGCTTATACTGCTGGAAAAAAAGAACACTAACTAGAAAACAAGCCAAAACTAATACCCCTGCAAATGCCTCAGTGTTCAGGAAATAAATTTACCTAATTGTTAGGTCCCAATTGTTCTAAGTGAGCCAATAATCAGAAATTAATAATCAGCTAACTCATTCCTAGCAGAGACTAAACGTGGATCTACACAAGGAAACCTAAAATGAAATGTTGTCATGGTGATATACAGGAGACTAAGCAAGCAGTGCAAAGCTCCTCTTCCTAGGAGACCTGAGAGACTAGCTCAAATTTTTATCTGTCATGGTTAATTTATCATTTCACTGAAACAGTTGTCAACATGCAAACTATGCAGAAGGCTTGTAGCAAGTACCTTTTGTTTTTCGAGGGCACAACAGGTTTTGTTTCCAAATCACAATGTCAGATTCAGCCTTACTTAAGGAGGAAAAAAATATTTGGGCAAGTTTTTGCTATTTTTAGCTTTTCACTACTTATAAGGGCAATTAAATATTGAGATTACTTCCTCTTAAGGATGTTGTCATGAGGCCACATACCATGGAGTGTTTGACATACTGATTTCTCCAAGAAATGAAGCAAGTAAAGTAGACTCTTGCAAAATTTATGCATGCGCGCTCTTAGATTAAAAAGCTGGTGGTCACAGAATAGAAAAGACTTAGGTGTTATCAGTCTTGGAGCTACTGCTTCTATGGAAGAAAAAATGAGGGCTCACCATTAGCAAGTGACTTGAGAAATGTTAGTCAGTGAAGTATTAGTTTTAAAGTAATTTAACCCTTAAAGGTTCTTTGTTTTCAGTATTCCATGCACTGATTTCATTATTAAAGACAAGCCATTAGATTTCAGTGTTAGTTGAGTTAAGCTCTTGCTCTGCGTTCAGATGTCTCGAAATTAAGAGTATGTGACTGTTAGCTGGTAAATTGCTGAGGTTCAATTACTTAATAAGCTAATTTCCCCTCTCAATAAATTCAAGAAAATATGGCAAATGCCAGGCTAAGCAGAACATCTGATTAGTTACATCTGCATTTGTAAAGAAGCAATGACAAAAATTCAGAGAAATGGCTACAAATTAGTTCTACGCAGTTAATTGGAGGTACACAAAAACACGTTTAAATAAATGAGTCACACTATATCAATTTATGGCTTTCTTTTAAACTTGGACTTCTCATGTTACAAGACTAAAACTAGGGAAGACATCACTGCTTTGACAAAAGTTGAGATGCCACCAGTAGTTCAGCACCACAGTAAGAACCTGGTTTGCTCACCTTTACTGACAGTCTAAAAAAAAGCACAGTAATGGCAGTGAAGTACAAACACTGCTCTTCTTTGCTCTTTTAAACCAGCGGGATGCTGCATGAGGGTGGGGAGCGTCAAGCCCAGGCATGTGGAACACCCTCTGGGAGGTAATGTGAACAAAGCAGATCTGGAAACCCTGCTTTGCAAGAGGTTCTGCAGCTCTCTGTAATTATCTTCGTGGGAGATGGCTGTGGCCATTAGACAGGCTGGAATCATGAGCTGTGAGTGGTGAGTAGAAACAGGCAGGTCCTCAGAACTTTCTGTCATGATACTTCACTTCAGAAATGTTAGTGTTAAACAAACGTGTTAGAAGAGAAATGCCCACAGCCAGGCTATGCAGAAAATGCTCTGCGTGAGTTTAGGTGGCATTTCTGATAGAAGTGGAATGATTTTTTGTTTTGTACTTTTTCTAGTATTTGATTTTATATCTTACATAAAGTTATTACAGTTGTATTACCTGTGGCTTCCTATTACTTTTTTCTCTATTGTGCCTTGTTTAGTTTTAAAGTTCAGAAATTATTAAATGCATCTTTTAGATAAATTTAATTATAAGGTGTTACTGTATTTTTCCGAGTGACAACCATAGTTAACAACCTTTCTGTTTTATTTTGACAGTTGTACAAATTCCTTGGGAAAAATAAGAATTGTCTATTAATATCTCAGGAAGCCAAAATTCATGCTTGTGTCAGAAGGAAGCTGTACAAACTGACCACCCCTATAATGTACCTTTTCATGGAGAAAAGCTGCATATTTACCCCTTTTATGTAGAAGAATACTGGCATGCCGGCGTCCATTTCCATTCTCGACGTAGCATGAGTAATTCCCCAGGTCTGCCTCTTCCACAGAGTCAAGAATCAACGAGATGGAAACCTCCTGTTCCCCGAGATGTTCCTTAAGAACCCTGAGAAAAAGCAACACTCACTGCTGTTCTGCTTGTATCATGGCGGAGCATTAGATAATCATGACATAATAATGCTACTTACAATTTACTATTGTCTGGCTTCACATTTGGCTATGGTTTGATGAAATCTTAATTAAATTACATCATGCCCTTTTCTTCCTCACTTGTAATTAGAAGGTTTGGCTTTGTAAATTTTAATGACAGCTTCAGTTAATTGTCTTCTTTAAGCAGGATGATGTGCACACTGATAAGATATCATTGCACACTTTGATGGAGACCCTGATCAGTAGTATGTGAAGTCTTCAAATGTTAGAAGAGAGAAAAGTGAAAACAGTTATTTTGGGGTTTAGGGTCATGGTAGGCATCTAGGTCAAATGTGCTACTTGTGCATTTTCTGAGGGTCTTCAGCATGTCACTCAGAAACAGTGTGTTCATGCCAGGGTCTGAAAAAATATTTCTTGAAAGTATTATAAATCAGCAGAAAGAACTGGCGTACCGGATGCTGCTCCTTCATACTGGTGATGAATGAAAGGAAAGACCTCTTCATAAGACTCCACCCGTCTTCACATTGCTTTCTTTACCTCTTAGCATGCCTATCAGTCATTTTAGAAACCCAGAAAAGCAAATGACAAACTCCTCTAGGCTACTCCCTCACGTCATACCTGGCAAAAGAAGTGGAAACCAGCCCTCCTGCTCCTCCCTCCGCAAAACAAGACAGTTGTAATGAGGTTCTTGTCACCTTTTTATCTGTCTTCAGAATGCCAAGTCTCTGGCTGAAGGGTTTAGCAAAAGCTTTAGATGCGAAATACAGCTGATCTGGTTGTCATGTGCCATTTAGTGTATTGGTCTTGAATTTTTTTAGAATAAACTGGAAGTACACTAGGGTGAAATATGCTTCCATTTTGCTTATACGTGGGGACATGGAAATGACCTTGAATGTCTACATGGCCTTGATTTTGGTAAAGCAATTGTCTCTGTTACTTTGGTTACACGGAAGAAGTCTAAGGTTAAGCTGAAAATGGGTGTGGCTTCATGTCTCCTGATGAGATAGTAAACTCCTATGTAAGAGGCGGAGGGTAAGTAAGCTCTTTTTGTTTTATTACAATCACTGTAGTTACCACACCTGTGGTTATTTAACTTGCTTTGTAATGTGCATTTAGATTTGCCTTCATTTCTGGGTTCATCCATGATATATAGGCACAGTGATATAGACATATGAAGAATTATAAATTAAAAAGGAATCTCTTCATATCTGGGTAGATACTTCTTATTGGATAAGAGTTGGTATGCTCTATAAAGTGTGTAATTTTCAATACAAAACCACTTTTCTCTTAATTTCCAAACAAGGCACCTCTTCTAGGAGCAGTAAAAGCACATGACGTGAATTGCCACATCCTCTCTAAAACAAATATGTCAGCAGATATAAGCAGCCCATGTAACAGGATGCTTGGCTCTCACAGGCCAGATAACATCCCAGGAAGCTCATTTTTTTCCTTGGAGAAAAGAAATCAAAACATTCCAAAAGAGAAACTAGACTTCAGTATTTATTTAAGGCTCCATGTTTTAAAAGACTTCTTTTGAGCTGTTTTCCTTGATGTGTTTATTTTTCTTTATTTCACCTTAGTAATTGTCTTAATGGTTCTTATAGTAGATTAACACAGTTTGAAAAAGTCACTATGCAAATTCTAGCTGGTTACACCACAGTACTTGTCAGGCAGCTGTTCTGCTTTTGCAGCTCTCTAACACCGTACCTGGCCAAGGCGTGTATTTTTCTGTTCTCTACTGTTAGAGTTGAAAAGATAAAGAATGTATATGTTCCAATAACAGGGATCAGACCCAAAGCATTCCTGAGTTAGTCTGTGATAACAGCTATTGCACTAACTACCAAAAAAAGATATTAACTGAAAAAAACCCCGCTTTTTCTTTTACCTGATGTCACTTTCCCAGACTCGACTATCATCCAAATCTTCAATAAACTTCTCCCCTTTCATCCAGTAGATTAAAGGACTGACATCTCCGCTATACCCAAAGAATGCTCGGCAGGTTAGATTAGCAGAACCACCTGTTACAAAGAATATGAGAAAATACGTTATTTCAAAATTTGTAAAAAAAGTTTCATTTTTGAATCAGTTGCTCTTGTTGAAAAAAAAAAAAAGTATCTGTAGCGACCCTCAGTTTCCAGCTGCTGTTGCGTATGTCCAAAAGTATCTACTTGTTTTGCAAGTGTTGTTCCATTTATTTTTGAAAATAATTACAATAAAAATTAAAATAAATGTTACATGAGAACAGGATTCAATTTTGTATTATTTCACTGAGTTTTTTATGATTAGTAAGGAAATAAAAACCTTTTATTTTTTCCAAAAGTACTAGCTTAGCCAAAGATTTCCATGTTTTCTCTGAAAACAGAAAAAAGCTACATTAAATAGACATGCAGTCCCATGTGTGCTAGTTCAGCTTTGCAATGGTTTCTGCAAAAAGGTCGGTAGATTCCTGTAGGGTATCACTTCCAAGGGACGGACAGTAGAAAGGTGGATGACAGGTTAACCATGAGCCAGCAGCGTGCCCTGGCTGCCAAGATGGCCAATGGTCTCCTGGGATGCATTAAGAAGATTATGGCCAGCAGGTCGAGGCAGGTTCTCCTCCCCCTCTACTCTACCCTAGTGAGGCCTCATTTGGAGTACTCTGTCCAGTTCTGGGCTCCCCACTTCAAGAAAGATGAGGAGCTACTGGAGAGAGTCCAGCGGAGGGCTACGAGGATGATGAGGGGACTGGAGCATCTCTCGTACGAGGAAAGACTGAGGGAGCTGTGCTTGTTTAGCCTGAAGAAGAGAAGGCTGAGAGGGGACCTTATAAATGCCTATAAATATCTAAATGGGCGTCAGGAGGTGAAACAGGGATCAAAATAGTACTTTGCATGCATTTTATGTGTTGATTAGAATGGTAAAAACTAGCTGTACTGTGGACAGCCACGTATTTACAGATGTCCTGTTCACTGCTGTAAAGATATTTGTCTCAATATGCACCAACCCTTCTAAACTGCTGTGTGCATTTCTTTAGTGGGTAATTAGACAGTGATTTAAAGTAGTGTTGTGATTTAAGGAATGATTTTTTTTCCCCCTGAGGAGAGTATTTTCATGGAGTTTCTATTACTCCTGAGACTAAACCCATATTTTATTTACACTTCAATTTTTTGATCTTAGGAATTTAAGCTGACTGACTACACCTCCTGGAAAAAAAAAAAAAAAAAAAATGCTTTGTTAACTCTATTTCATTCTGTACTGAGATGCAATCAGCAGTCCATCTGGGTTCAATGAAATTCCTTAAAAATACACTGCCATGGGTTAGGACCTGGTGCTTCTCAAACTTATGACAATATTTGAACACTTCATTTACTTTTTAGTATGGCAACAAATGCAGGGTGCTGTATAACAAGAAGATTAATTATTAAATATGTCTTATTTATCTGAAATGATTTGTGGTTTTCTGTAAAAGCATCTGGCTCCTCTGCCTGGCTTGAACTCTCACATCCATGCCATAAAAGGTGCAGAATCAAATGTTTGTACTCAAAGTACGCAACATGAAAGCAAGTGCCAGCTACGTTGCTCTCACAAGCTGTTGAGGAACTGAGTTGCCTTTAGTCATTACATGAGCTTTTGGTTGGTGCCACACCCTTTGTTAGCAATGCCTGCTAAGGAGACAGGAGCATCCCACAGCGTGAAACTAGGATGGAGAGGAGGGTCTCATTTGTAATGAAAAGGTATGCTATCAAATCTCTGACTAATGAGACATTTTGATAATCTTCTCTTGTTTAGAGCAAAGTTACCAAATATAAGCTGCAAATCTTCAGCGAGAGGGCAAAAATTCTCCTTCTGAAGACAACCACATCTTCTGTTTCTACACCTCAGGGAGCAATGGTCAGGACACCTCCCTGGAAACCCACCTCCTCAATTTCTGCGCAGCTCGAGAAGTGCCTTTTAGAAGCACTGGAGGGAAAGATTTTTGCAATTTTGAAGCCATTTGCGGGGAATGAGATGAGCTTTGGGATACCACTTAATGTGGGTCAAGTGCATGAAAACCTGTAATGGAACATGATACATTTCCTGATTGTGCCCAGGGCATTTTAACAGATGCAAACCCAGTTTCTTATAGCAGTTACATAGCAGATATAAAGTAACTTTTTTTTTTTTTCGGTTTTGCATTGTAATTACAATACATGAACATGTAAAAATGAAAATAGAAAACCATAAAGGATTATAAATATCTTGGCCACAGTCATCCTGTCTAGCACATGTTCAGGGCTGTGAAATGTTTAGCAACCACAGCATTGGTGGACTCTGATCACTCTTGAAAACAGCAGAAGGTACCTGTACATCTAAAGAAAAAGCAGGCTCCTGTGACAACTGGGTAACCCCTGCGGCATTATCTACCAGTCTTGGAGGGAAGAATGCTACCTAATGCATCACTGCCACTTCTTGGGCTTTTTCTGGAGCTTTCTTACGAAGTCAATGCCTGGTTGAAACTTTTTAGCTTTTAAGATCTGGCAAGATCACAGCTGGAGGGACTGTAGCTTCTGTACAACTTACCCATGATTCACAGCTATTAGGTACCACAGGTGCTGAACCATCGAAGTGCCCCAGGCTCCTGCAGCTACCAGGCACCCACTGAGAGCTGTTTTTTGCACTGTGCATGCCTCTAAGCCTTTTACAGGTGAATATTAATACACATGGGTTTATTTTTTAAAAATAAACTTAATTTGTTATGGGCAAAAAATGTTAGAAAATAAGAGTTTGTAAGATTAAGGCTTTTATCCTCACTAAATTCTTAAAGAAATTACCTCCTTAAATAAAACTAGTAATTGTGCTTTTAAACACAAAATCCAAAGTTCAAATTCAGCATGAAATATTTGCAGCTGAGAAATAAATAAGGAAGTATGCAATGCCTCTTAGTAGTACTATGTTGACTACAGTCACTGAGCAAAGGCCATTAGCATGCTGGATGTTCAGCTATAAACTACCTATACTGTCTACCTTGACCAACCTTCACAATAAGCCAGTGGGAAGTTCATTAGCAGGTCATCAAGAAAGATCCAGTGACCAGCTAATGACCAACCGTGACCATTAATGAGGAGGTCTGTTACTCCAGAGCTCACAACTCTTTGCAGAGGGCAGTGGAGCTTTGTTGGTGGAGCAGAGATACAGCTGCAGGCGCATGTAAGCAATGGGCAACGGCTGACTGAAGGTCAATATTATGAGTGGACAGAGTATTTTGCGAGCACATCTTGATCTCTGCTCCAGAGCTGCCCTAACGTGAGTGAGTGTATGCTGTGGGATGGGCTTCATTTTTCCCTAGAAGTGCAGCTTTGAAGCAAGCAGTCAGAGGATACTGAGTTTGGTACAGAGTGGCTGCTCTGTGTCAGCAGTCTGTTTTTAAGCAGGCTGCAGATTTTTAGAAAGCATGCAAAATTTAAGTAAATAAATAGAAGAGATGCTTTGCTTCATGTTTAAGTGAATGTATAAAATAACGTCAGCCAATTAGTAGAAATCACTCACAGATAACATTACACAACTCTTTCTTCTCTTATATTTTCTGTGCTGTGGAATATTAGAGAAATGATTTAAAAACAATAAAAGTTCGATGAATGGATATGTAATGTTTTCTACACAGTTAATTGAATTTTTCCTGCAAATGTTGAATTAATACAGTTTTATAGTCTATCTTTGAAGGAATTTAAATACAAATTTTTCCCTAACTGCTAAGGAAATTCATATCTCTCTCTCTCTGTTCTCTTTGCTGTGAGGTGCTGTAAGTTCTTGAGAACGTTCTGTCTGAAATTGGGTCCTAAGTAAACTGCTTTTTTTATGGATGCTGGAAAAGTCCAGCATTAGATTAGAATTAATTAGTAAAACTGAAAGTGTTAAGGTTTTTATTAACACCCCTCCCCCCAAAAAAATCCACAATATAACATAACACCCTCAGGAAAGGATAAAGATAAAAATGACAATTTTACTTCTCAGTGTAATTATAATTTTTTATTGTGAAATAATGTAATAAAGACGTGTAAGAGAATGCCTAAAAAGTAAGGTTTAGCTGTGTATTTCACCATGACCCTTATTTCTGAAGATGAATATGCTTTTACTGTATTGAGCTCATTTTTGTAAAAACTAGAATATGTAGCACTGTGTTCTTGATGCTCGCTGTGATAAAGTTGTGCTGTCAACCCTAGCCAACTGGGTTCAAGCTAAATTAATCAAAAGGTCTGCCATATAAATTGAGAACAGTTTTTGTTTCATAGTATGCTTTAAAGTAAAACAGAATGCAAGGAGGGACCACAACAAAGTGTACTTCCTTGAAACCAGCAATCCTTTCAGCAGAGCAAAACAGGGGTTTTGAGTTCATTTGCTAATTGGCAACGTTTGGGGCACCTTTCAAACTACTGCTATGGGAGCCTAAGTCCAGGAGAGGGCACTGTATAACTACTAAAAATGAAAAAAAAAAAAAATCAAAGTCAATTCCTACTGTATAAGCTCTAATTAAAAAACATCAGCCTGCTAGGAACCTATTAGTTGTAATTAGAAAATAGTGAATACTTTGTGGTTGGTGAAATGTCATCTTGTATGGGCAACTTAAATTACAGTTGCACCATGAGTCATACAAGTTAGCACACACTATGATGGCATTCATTCTAGCCTTTGATTTGACAGAATCATCAAAGACAACCATTTTTGTTAGAAGCAATGATAAATATCAGACATCTTCTGCACCCTCTTTTTAGAAGAATCCTCAAAATTATATTATGGAGGGGAAATGTTTGAGAGCCATGATCACCATCTAGTAATACAGAGGGCCAAAAGAGTGAAACTGTTAATTGCACTCAAAAATAAGGGACTTTCTTTTACTGTACAATGTAAGCCTTTTACAAAACTTAAACACAGGCATTACCTACACACTTATAAGTATGCCATTTATTTGTAATGTTAACACTTCAAAATGAAATTATAAAAGGGCAGAACAGACACAAACAAAATCTCTCACACACAAATTAAATACTGTTCTTTCCATTTG